AAAGAATTTACCACTTGTTTCAACATAGTTAAGTTTATAGCAGTATGTGATAACTGCTAAAAGCTGTCCCTTCTCTTTATCCTGGGGTCCCGCATGACCAGCTAGTTAAGGCGCTTGATTCGCAATCTGCGGGTCGCGGTATCGAATCCCCATCCCACAAAACATGCTCGCCCTTTCAGCCGTATGTGCCTTATAATATGACGGTCAATCCCACTATTCGTTGGTAAAAGAATAGCCCAAGAGTTGGCGGTGGGTGGTGATGACTAGCTGCCTTCCCTCTAGTCTTACACAGCTAAATTAGGGATGGCTAGCGCAGACAGCCCTCGTGTAGCTTTGCACGAAATTCAAAACAAACAAACAAATTAAATTAAATTATGCAGACACATGAAGATTACATAACTATTACATAATATGCACCTCATGCCGACAACTGAAGGTTACATAAGTGTTACATAATAAGCAACATAGGGCGCTGCTTTCTTAGGGAAGAGGTGACATCATAGTTCAACAAAGTGGCAACAGAGGGCTAGAACTTGTCATGTTGCCATGACATTTGATGACAGAAGTTGTTTGCTGCCAGGAAGCATGTCATGTGACATAATAGTTTGAGTGTAACACAACAGAAAGCATGTAGCTAGGAATCATAGTTCCACAAAGTGGCACCAGAGGGCGTTTTGAAATGATAAGCATATAGATAGATTGCAAATGAACCACGGGAGGAAGATGTAGGTCAAAGTGTCATCAACTCTATAGTAACAATCAAATCTTTAAGTTTTATCAATAAATGTTTAAGTATATGTCATACTTGTTAAGTCTGTGATTTTACTTACAAATATTAATTATAGCATATTAGGCTATGATGAAATTTGAGTTTTATTTCAGAAATATAAATGGAGACTTGTATTTGTTGTTCAAACATACTTGCTAGAAATTGATATTCATGGGGTGTAATTTATCTTAAAAGACTAAGCTACACATGTTATTATCTGAAATTTGATCTTTAGTCTGAACAGTGATTTGTAATTGACAGTTTGTATAATTTTTAAGTGAAAAGATGAAACATGCTACAAAATATTGTTTCAAAATCTATGAAGAAAACATCTGTTTTGAAATAGTCAATAAACAAGTTTTTATGAGCTTAAAAACTGAAATCTCACATTAATCATGCAGCATGAACAAATACTACTGCTGGTGTTACAAAATAATCATGTTTGACTATAATGCATATGTTTGAATCCTCTATTCATATATTTATGTAGTGACATGTCTTTAATATGATGTATTAAAATGTCTCGTGATAAATACAGTGTTTGTTTTTACATAGATTACACAAATGAAAAATATAAACTCTAACTGAAATAGTAATATGAACATAATGTACAAAACTTGTACGAAAACTTATTCAGTATTTTATTATGTTAAGATGTTTATAGTATATATCAGTGTGTCTTGGAGTTTTGTTAATAAATGTTTCAAGTATGCCTGTCAAGTCTTTGATTTTACATTGTTTTGTAATGATAAACATTAAATGTCTTGGATTTATAAAACATGAAATAATAATCACTTGATTTCTAATTAAAAGCCTTTTTTCATTTGTGAAAAATGCAGTTGATACTTTGGTGAGCTATTCAGATTAAATTTAAAGTGTAATAGATTTTCTGATTTGTCAACATATATTTAATATATACGTTTCAATAATTATAAAGTGACATGACATACCTATCATTACAAACTAGAAATACCATATTTTACGAAAAAAAGCGTATGTCTGGGTGTTAGAACATTTTTTAATTCCAGACCTTTCAATGCTACTGACCTTTTATTCTGCCAGTTTTAAGAGGGGACTGGTTGTTTGGCCACATGATGACCTCTCCTGTCAATACACTCCATGACCCATCTTGTGATAAACCGTTTGACTGTCAGCAGTCTTGAAGATAAAAAACATAGATATGCTGCTTGGGGTTGTAGTCTTAGGCAAATATGTGAGCAATAGGATTGAAAGAGTGGCCTATCTATATTAAGAGTTTGTTTTTTGAAATGGGAAGAATATTACTTGTCAAGTGTATATACATAAAGTTCCAAACCAGCAAGAAGCAGGCTCTAGTTAAAGATTTGTGAAACATCTACAGAAAGGTAAGAATAGTATTGGTTAAACATATCTATTTACATAGATCCTTTAAACTTTAGAAGAACAAATCAACTTATAAAGCTAAATATGAAAGTATTGTATATTCTTTAGAGATTCAAATAATTATTTTTTTCAAGCCAAAATATGCTATATAATATACTAATTATATAAATGAATTAGCAATAAGTGTTTTGCATATAAAACATCAGAAAATGCAAAAAGTATGTTATGCAAGTTAAATATAAAAGTTAAAACTGAAGAATTAATGAATTAGTGAAGAGTTATATACACAAAACAATAGATAATTGTAAAAGTATGTAGGGTAAAATATTGGCTATAATATCTGCCCCCCTCAAATAATGGATAAATTAAGATAGTATGTGTGATAAAAACTATACGAAACAGTGTCATAATAGTTGTCTCGTGAAGATAATGGTTTTACTTGTAACCTTTTAGGACATATAATTAAATCTAAACTAAAATGCTGATGACGTAATCACACGTTGAGACACCTTACAATGAGATCGTCATCCTATCGAACTATCCATTTATAGAAACACCATTCACCCTAGCAGCACTAACCTTAGTAACACAATTTGCTAAGTAATACCATCTGTCTACAGAATCTTAATAACACAATCCACCTAGTAACACCATCTGCCTTTGTAAAACACACAATATACATAATAAGACCATCCACCTATAGAACATTATTAGCACCATCAGCCTATAGAACCTTAGTATCACTGTCCCTCTGTAGTAACACTATCCACCTATAGAAACACTATTCACCTATAGAACATTATTAAAACCATCAGCTTACAGAACCTTAGTATCACTGTCCACCTCTAGTAACACCATCCACCTATAGAAACACCATCTGCCTTTGTAAAATGTACACAATTTTATACGTAAGTAAAAACTATAAAGTTGATAAGATTAAGATAGTAGATTTAATGTTTTACTCATAAAGAGAAACTGTAATTGTGATAAAAAAACTTTTCAGTATTGATACTTGTAAAGACAATGTTATGAAAATTAGATTAAATTATCAATTTCAAGACTTTGATTATTACTATAGAGTTGATGACACATTGACCTACATCCGCCTCTGGTGGTTTGTTCACGAACTATCTGCACACTCATCATACCAACGCGCTCTCTGGTGCTACTTCGTAGAACTATAGCTCCTAGCCACACGCTCTCTGTTGAGTAACACTCGTACTATAATGTCACGTGGCATCTCCTGGCAATGTGCTCTCTGGTAGCCGACAACTTCCATCAAGTGTCATGGTGGCATGACAACTTCCGGCACTCTTTTGCCACCTGGTTGAACTATGATGTTAGCTCTTCCATAAGACAGCAGCGCCCTCTGGTGCCTATTATGTAACAGTTATGTAACATTCAGATGTTGACATAAAGAGTATATTATATAATAGTTATGTAATATTCAGGTGTCGGCATAACTGGCACATTTCGTACTAGTTTTGTAACCCTCTGGCGTCATCCTTTGATCTCAACTCACCTGGTGACCCCTCCCTTGAGGTGGCTTTCTTTGGCTGCTGAATAGGTACCATAACTACTGATCCATATATATAGCCTAATAATGTCCCCACTGGCACAGAGGTATGTCTGCGGACTTACAACGCTAGAAACCGGTTTCGATACCCGTGGTGGGCAGTGCACAGATAGCCCATTCTGTAGCTTTGTGTTTAATTACAAACAAACAAGTCTAACAAATTTGTGTCGGATTTACATATTAGTTCAAAAGAGTGGCAAAGATTTTAATGTACAATTTTATAAATATCAACTAGTATTTTTATATATTTCAAATTGTGCAGTTGTTATTGAATTCTGATTAACCAATCAGAGTTGATATGCTAAACAATTTCAGTACATACTGGAAGTCATGGTTCAAGTGATATACTCAACATTTTCTATATAATTAGAATACAGTCAACACAGACACGTTTTTGTTGCAGAGCTTGATACTTTCAAGCACTGAAGTGACCATTAGCATTTGTCTTAAAGAAGCTAGGCTATTACACTTTCATTACTAGGCATATGTGTTTAATTATGATTGCTATAGGTAGCTTGCTTTGATCAGAAGTTGATATTAATACAATTCACTATCATAGCAAGCGGTTAAGAATCTCTCTCCCTCTCTCTCTCTCTATATATATATAAGATACAAATCTATCTGGAATCTTTCTTTTAATATATATCGCCATTTCTTAAGAATTTGAATACGGAACATATAAACTTGAGAATGTTTGTAAATAAGGCCATTTATTAAGTATGTTTAGCGTTACTAAATTTGTAGTGTTACGGAAATATTAAGAACACCAGTTGCACTGGTGCTATCCGCTGTTACAATAGCTTTTCAGATATGTTTCAATGCTCTTGCCAAGTTTGTTTTTGTCCTAAGTGTATATTATATGCTACTATATATAAATATGCATGGATGTTTTCATAACTGAATGGAACTCGTCCTTTTTTGATAAAGATTTTTTTCGGAATAAAATACCGTTAGTTTAATTGTATTGTTTTATATGAACTATATAAAGAAATTGCTTAATTGTACCAAAGTTTCGAGAAACAAACAAATCTCTTTATATCGTAAGTATATTAGTATATGTCTTTCTGTCCATACTTGAAATTATTATTATTTTCATAAGAATGAATTTTTTGGAAAAGGAAACATTATTTTCAAACTATTTTCGTCATTATTCGATTAGTCTTTTTTTTTCTCCTTTTTTTTCACATGGTTGTAAATATTATGCAAAGATATATGTAACATAAAAATTTATGTTTTAAAATTTATTTTAAGTGGCGACTCTTTAAAAATAACTTTGTTTTCTCTTTTTCTCAGCTCCTAACCCTGAACCGTTCCATCTAGTTGAACTAATAAGATAGTTTTTTCTACTTCGGTGAAGAAAAGTAACTCTCATTTGCAACGAAATGTCAATTTTAACTTTTCAAGGACAAAGCTAACATAATAGCAAAAGGAAAGTCAGTAACCACATTTAGCTTTATTCCCCATTGAATTCGTAATGAGGTTTGTGGGAAGGAAAAACAACAACATGAAATAACTATTAAGAATTCTTATATACATAGTGTCTGTCCCAAAAGGAGCCTCACTTCGTATTTCCGTGATGTTTATTATAGTGTTATTGTAGTTCCAGTTAAGGTCCCTTGCACAAACACTTTCAGCCTTCTGTTGATTCTTTAACACTCATATTATTTGCTGTTAATTTGCTACAACTCATGCTTTATAACTCTTCACTACAACTTTTAGTTTTAAAGAAAAATATCAAATCATGCTTGGGTGAAGTGACTTTTAGGAACATTATATACACTATTAAAATAAACTCAAAATAATGAAAATTTGTTAATGCAAATGTTTATGAGTAGTTTACTCTTGTATAAAATTAGATTGGAAAGAATATAAACAATATAAAGATTATTTATCACTATATTACTGGATGTTAAAACATCTTAATAATGAAGTCCTATATGCAGTCTTTAGTTATTATATTTTATAAACATATCTCCATAATAAAAGCCTATACGTAGCCTTTAGATATAATATTTTGATAAAACATCTTAATAATGAAATCCTATGTAGTATTTAGTTATTTTATTTTGTAAACGTTTGTATAAAATGAAATCATGTGCAGTCATTAGTTTTTTGAAACTTGTAAACAAATAAACATTATGAAGTCTTATGTAGTCTTTAGTTATTTTATTTTGCTACATTACATGATTGACCTATAAGCTCTGGTAACCGTAACAAGGGTAGCAACAATTTATTGAATATATAATAGCATGTCTAAAATGGTATCTTGTGATTAATTTCTTATTCTTGCAATAGCATTACTCCAAAAATCAACATTCTGTTTTGTAAGGATACAAGGGAGACTTATGCAGTCATAAAGGCAACAACTCTCCGCCATATTTAGTTTTTTAAATAAGAACAAGATGCAACGATTTGTTTCAGAAGTCAATTCTCACTAGCAAATTTATATGTAAGTGCTATTCATACGCTTTCTTTAAGTTTAGTTGAGTTTGGATTGGTTGAATAATAGTACCGACAGAGTGTGAAGCTGAAAAGTGAAATATTATTATTCTTATATGCTGAATCAATTCATGAAGAAACGCGAAAAACTTTTACACTGTTGAACATTGTTGACGCTTTTATTTTTCAAAATATAAAACCATTTTTATATTTAAAGTAATAATGCTGTGAACATAATTTGCATTTTTTATTTTCCGAAGCGAAAGTAAACCATTGGAGCCCATATCATCCACGATTAATTAAGATACGTGTATGAACCTAATGCTTATATATGGGTTTTTAGCTTAAGCTTGATGACAGAACATGTTAAACACGAGATTACAGTCATTAAAAGATTTAAACCAAAAGGTTTGAAAACTTGATTATAAATAAATTATATGGATTACATTATACCCTCTGTTAACTGGCGTAGTAATTGAATTCGCAAGAGATTTTAATATTTGTTTAAGTAAATATGGTAGTAAGTTTATCTTATGGTAATAAGTTTTCGATCTTTTGACGTAGAGCTTTTTTATAGATACGTATCTTAAACTTTTATCTTTTTTAAAGTAAATTTGAAAATAAAATTGTGAGACCATCAAACTCTTTTATAAGAAACCAGTTAAAGTTTAAGGACTTGAATGAATTGAATATATGTAAAGTAATTCAGAATGTATCAGAGTGAACACATCGAAATATTCAGATGACATATGTGAGTAATATTATTTCAGCTTATACTAATCAATAAACTAATTTCAATAAACTAGAAAACATTTACTCGTAACCCCTACTCTTTATGTTTGTACAGCCTCAATTAATTTATGGCAAATGTTAAGACAGAGTTCAGATAATTTTATCATATTTTACTGAGAGGAAGTTTTTACATACAGATAGTCTGGACAGGTAGATGATTATATAAAAATAATCTGGACAGGTATATGTTTATATACAAATAATTTGGACAGGTAGATGTTTATATACAGATAGTTTTGTCTGTATCAACTTTTTCCAAAACTTTGGAAGTTACGATAATGAATATCTTGGTTATTCAAACTAGAAAATTGGTGTCTTTTAGAAGTGGATGAAGCCTTCTTTTGTTATTTTATCATTATATTCACAAACAACCACTTCTCGATATTATAGCTGCATATATTCCTATATTAAAACTTTTAAATCAATTAAAGTATCTAACTAGGAGTACACATATAAAAATCTACTTGTTCGTTATTTTGATAAACATTGATCCAACATCTTTACTTGCCATCGATAAGCCTTTTTACCCCCTCTCATGTGTCCCCTGGAGCCAAGTATGTATTCAGTCTTCAGTATGTAGTTTGGAGGTAACATTTATATAATCTAATGTATTGTTCTCGTTCCGTAGATTTAAGTTAACATTTAACTAACCTTCAGCATTTACGTAGGCACATTTTCTATATATCATTTGGATGTTAACCTTTTTGAAAATCTACAACAAACTTAACAACTATGTTAGAAAGTTATGCCAGGCTATTATTCATACATAGCCCAACCATCTGCATCCTCAAACACTAAAGCATGCATCCAATTATTTTCCTCGTCTACTTGTTAGAAGCGCTATTCACTGCTCTATTAATCTACCAGATCAATCACTTATCTTTGCACCAAATTATTTAGTTTTATTCATCGATTTTTCATCCATTTGTTAAACTCAAAATCACAAAATCTACCTCCAGTGTTTGAGAAGAACAGACCTGTGAAAAGTATTGGCTCAGCTACCATGCAGGGGAGAACTACAAGTACCTCATGTTGTTGACCATCACTGGAATCCAACTAAGTGTTATCTTGTTATATCTTTGATCATTAGTCAATAAAGTACACTATTTGATCCGACAACGTTTATCTCATGCTTATGAGAAAGAAACTCTGTTTATCATTGACCCTTACTAAGATCTTAAGCCAATAACAACATCACATTCTCCTAGGGCATGTTCAAGTAGGCTTGACTTAATGGAGATCTTAGGATAGCATGTTTATTAATTCGCGCAAATAGGTTTCTTTTAGTAGAACCAATGTAAGTAACATTGTTAACAGCAAGGACAAGTAAACTTATAACTACAAATAATGATTGTAAAATCGGAATCTGGTTATTAAATCTAATGAGAAACCGTAGGCGACAGTTAGGTTTAAACACTGCAAATACACCCTTCAAAGGACATTTTTCAAAGGGTTATTAATGTAGGGTATACTGATGACAATAAAATATTTTGAAACTTCAGTTGTACACGTTATACTACAATTCGCTTATTTAAATATTTACGAAGTATTTTACCTATTACAAAAGTTGAAAAATCCTTTTTTAACAATAATTTCTCGATGTTATTGAATTTTCCCTGCACTACCTCATATGTGCTAAAAATTTACATGCACGAAGAAACAATATTATGACTAAATTTCCCATAAAAATATTTGAAATTAATCCTATAAATACTTTCTTGTGATATATACATTTTGCATTCAATTTCCCCATTATTATTACTAATTGAAGTGTCCAAAAAAGAAAGTTTATGCCCCTGCTGATGTTCCACAGTGACTTTCATTCTTCTATTTCTACTATTCAAATAGTGAAGAAATTGGGAAGTTTGTTCTGAGTTCTTGAATGGTGAAAGTGTCATCAACATATCTCCGATAATAGAGGTTTTTAAAACTGTTGTGAAAAAATTTTTAACCATTGTCTTTCATGAAAACACAGAAATAAATCGGCTAAAGACGACGCCAATTTCGATCCCATAGTAACGCCATGAGCTTTACACCCAAAAGAAAATGAAGTTTTTAGTAGAAAAGTTCGTTAACTCCAAAAACACCGAATCTGGAATATTCACATCGTTGGAATTA